GGCGGGCGGCGGGATCCGACGTCTGCGCTGGAGTCGGCCGACTGAACCCAGCGCGGCGGCGGCGGCTAGGGCGGCGCGGCCCCGGCTCTGGGCCAGGACGCAGAGGCGAGCAGGGAGCAGCGGGCGGCCGGCCGCGGAGGCAAGATGGGGAACCGGGAGATGGAGGAGCTGATCCCGCTGGTGAACCGTCTGCAGGACGCCTTCTCGGCGCTGGGACAGAGCTGCCTGCTGGAGCTGCCGCAGATCGCCGTGGTGGGCGGCCAGAGCGCCGGCAAGAGCTCGGTCCTCGAGAACTTCGTGGGCAGGTGAGCGCGCAGGGCGGGGGGTGTGGGGCGACCCCGCTCCGGGCCGTTGGGACGTGGACGGGCGACGGGGGCCCGGGGTGGACCGGAGGCTGCGGCGGAATGGAGGGCACAGCGGCGGTGTCCTGGGGCGGGCGGGGTCCTCCGTCGCCGGGCGTCCTCCGTCCCCCCCGCCTGGTGGCCCTCCCGTTTGCCTTTCATCCTGCGATACAAAGCCATTTCCTCCCGTCCTCCGGTCAGGGAGTCGGGGGAGGGAGTCCGCCGCGGGACCGACTTCCCCCACCCTGTGCGCGCCAGCCCCGGGCAGCGTGGATGCGGAGCGCGCCCAGGCGCTTCCCAGACCCCCGCTGCTGTTTTCCCGGCTCCGCGTCTCCCTCCTTTTCCTGTCAGCCGCGCCGAGGCTCTCCGCGAGGCTGCGGGGCTTTAGCCCCCCACCCCCCGCGGAGATGCTCTCCTTCTCGCCCTGGTTCTCGGCTCCCCTCAGCTGTCTACTGTTCGAGACAGTCGTCGCCTGCCCCTGGCAGAGGAGGCGGGGTGCGAGGAGAAAGAAATCGTTTGTTGTGGTGAAGCTCTATCCAGCGACGCTTCGCCACCATTCTCCTCGCTAGGAGTCGAAGAATAAAAGGTGGTGTGTTCGCATGTGCACCTATTCACAGCTCCAGGCATATGTCAGAGAAACCGAGGCACAGACTCCGAAGGGGGTGGACGTGGACTTGTGTGGTCCAGGTGCCATGTCATTCCTGCATCATCTCGGAATTGACCAGCATCTTTCTCGCACTCTCTCTGCGCCCCCTCCCCCAGCATCGTTTTCTGTTCCCTACGCTCTTATTTGTCCTGCGAGTCTTCAAGATAACATGCTGAATCTAAATTATAGTTATAGGTTTCTTCGTGACTCTTAATACAGAAAAAGCTAAAGAATTAATTTTTAAATTGAGAATCAGCATTTCTTCCACTGAGGAATTCATGAGGGATTAAGTTACCTTAACGGCCTTGCCCGAGGAATGCAGACATTTGCTAAGAAAAGCCCATTTGAAAAGGTTATGAAAGCTGTCCCTAGTAGTAAACCAGGTAGACATGTACAGCAGCCGAGAGAGTGGGCCAGAGGGGGGACAATCCAGAGATTGTACTATACTCTTTTTATTTGGCTGGTTAGTGATTTGAGATTCAGAAGGTTCCTGTCCCTGTCCCTGTTCCTTTTTTCTTTTTTTTTTTTTTTTTGGTTAGTGTTTGGTGATGTTTCAAATTCAGATATTCCCACATCTCCTTTGGGAATGTTATTATCCATAAAGTGCATATTCTTTCTTCTTAGATCATGCTCTCTGTCTCATGATACTCTTCGTTGTTTTTTTGAACTAGAAAGCTAAGAAGCCTAATAAAAAAGTAAAATTGCTGACAATTGGCTGGCATCTTTGATTAAGTCAATCACTTTGCCTCGGTTTTGTCATTTATTTTGAGTGATGAGAAAAGTGATGGTAAAGCATTTTGCCTACGTCATCGTAGACTTATGGTGAAGTGATGGATGAATATGTGATTTCAGACATATACACACAACAGTCACATACTTAGGGTTTTATTTTCTTTGATTTACTGCCAATTGAAATTCACTAAATTTAAAGTGATATCCATAGGGAAAGTGAGGTTTGATGACAATGTTTTTGGGTTTTCAAACTCCAGAGCATTTAATATGAGGCCTTAATAGTCATTTAATTACTTTTGTTTTTTAAACAAATAACTTAAAGATTAAAGTTTTAAATAATTCAAATGCAATTACCATATTTTTATGCATCTTTCCTATATTTAGTTGGATGAGCCTATATTATAAATGCGTTGTTTGTGGCAAGGGCTTTTGAACCTAATGTCAATTTTATGTGCGTATCACAATTCTGCTCACCAAGTTTTCAAATCCTAATACACTTCTTAATGCTATAATAAAATTGTACACATTTCCCCTCACTAGCTATATTCTTTGGAAAAGAGAATTTTAAAAACGACGTATGGAAGAGTAAAATATTTTAGCTTGAACATTTCATTCGTGATAGAATGAAAAATAGGGACATTATAAATATTATATAAATCAAAGCATTGACCGGAATACATTAGTAATTTGTTATACTTTTTAAAATTTACCAATAATTAATCACTGTTAGAATGTCAAATCAAAGAAAAGGATGAACATAAAGGAAAAACTCGTTTAATAAATGTATAAAGGCTTTATTATCTGTAGAGATGACACCTGCCTAGTAGAGCTTATGTATTAGGAAAACATTTAATTAAAAAGGTCATTTGACTTTAATAAAGACTTCAGTCATTGAATTATTGAGAAATCTAATTTCTAATTATAAACCGACCTTAGGGAAAAAGGAATTCGCTATTTTGGTAAGAGATTCATCTTAGGCAGGAAAAAAACTACTCGTATTTTACTACAACTTTTATCTTTTTATTACCCAGAAATTTTGCAATAAAGGTAAGGTCTTTTCCTTTAAGAATGAAACTTTCCTCTTTTACATATAGCTGTTTTCATTTTAAGACTCTGACCTAATGTGCCATTATTGAATGCAGTCATAAAACAAGAGATCATTGCTTGTGTAAATTGTGTTTGCTCATCATTTAAGCTTGTTCTCTTCAAAATAATGATGTGTTTTTTCTTCAGTATTTAACAGTCCATGTTTAGTGGACTAGCCCTAACTTCTCCTCTCAGATAGTTTGTTTATATTAATTTTTTTGACACCACTGAATGAATTTGATGTGAATGTGTTTACTTCATTTAACTGTAGCTATAAAAACCAATTTTGGGGTGACAGGTTTGAGATTGTTGTGAATAAAGTGAATCGTGAACGAACCACTTGTCTGTGATTTTCTTGCTGAAGTGATGAATTTACATATTAATGTGATATAGTGTGAGTAACCAGATTGTTCTTTTGGTTGTTGATATATGCTGGCAGTGAGACGCAGCTTAATGTCTAATGAATAGGAGCTGAGACTCATGATCTGAATATAGGGGTTCACTAGCTGGCTTGGGGTCTGCACATTGGTCTGGTTTGTGTGTGGAAGAATGGAATTATTCAACTACTTTCACATCCATTTTTTTTTTTTACAGTGCAGTGAGATGATGATGATGATAATGGTTCCCATTTATCCAGTATTTGCTAGGCATCAGGTGCTATTCTAGATGCTTTTACATGGATAATCTCATTTATCCTCATAAAACCCCGAAGAGGAAGGTACTGTTATGAGTTCCATTTTACAGAGAGGAAATTGAGATTTAGAGAGTATGAGTAACTTACTGAAGGCTAATTTAATTTAACCTAAAAGCAGTGCAGCTAGGATTCACCCTGAGGTTCCTGGGCTCTATACCAATCTTCTGAAAGCTCTGTGCCATATTGCCCCCTCCATACTGAGATTTACCAATTCTTCTGATAAATACTTTTGACTTCTTTCTTTGATCACATTGGAAAGCACCACCTAAATAAATAAGCTGCTATATTAATAATTTTATTAATATTTATTTGTATATGTCTAATTTGCCTCATTTCACAGAGGATTTGAGGCAACCCTTTAGGTGGAAGTAACATTAATTAAAAGATAAGTATTTTTCTTTATATATTAGATATTCTTGAAGGGAGCTCTAGTATGTAGTTGGATTGTTTGTTTAAGTATGTGTTTAGAGTGCGTATAACTTGTTTATAGACATGTTAAGTGAAAACTGTACTAGTTAATGTGCAAATGTTTTTTAATGATATACTTGTTAGAGACACTAGTTCTTCAATGCTAATTGCATAGGCAGAGGATTCCACATTATTTTATTCTAGCCTGAGTGGTAAATAGACTTTCGATTTTGCACAAATAGAATAGGTTTTGTGATTAATGGGGACCAAATAAGAGATTTTTTTAAGTGACTGTGTTGATGGGACTTCATTTCAATGTGGTAATATCATATAATATATATTTATTTAGTTGTGAGTTTTCTAAAGATGAATATGTTGATTATCAAATTAAAGTTGTTTTGTGGGAGAACTATAAAAGTGAGCCATTGATGCTATTGTTGAATGGATAGGACCAGATAATTTTTTACAAATCCAGAAGTCATTTATATGGTTTAAATAGACCCTAATCTATTCTTAAATCCTTTAACGTATTTCAAGAGAGTATTTAAAATTTGAGGAGGTAGGAGTTCTCTAATTGCAAATGAGATTAGGCCCGGAAGCCTTCATATTAGTAAAATTTCTTAATTCAGAAATAGGTTTGTATTGAGGGAAAAGATTTTTTAAAAGTATCAAAGCATCTGAATTAGTGAATATTTTTCAATAAGTAGCTTCCAAGTATTAAAGTTATTAGATAAATGGGTGCTAATAATTAAAATGTGATAATTGTTGAAAATTATGCTTCATAGTTTCCAAGCATCTATTTGAATAAATATCAAAAACATGAACTTTTTTTTCGTCCAACAATGAATTGCTAAAACCTGAAATTATGAAGATATTTTTCCTGAATTAACATTATGTAATGTATTTTAGGTTATCACAAATTCACCGTTGGTAGGATTTAATTACCAAAATCAACTTAATTCTTTTTTTATTAATAATATCTGAGAAGCAATACAACTAGGTGAACTGGACTGGATAAAATACCTCTGTTTTGAAACTTACTTATTATTAACAGATATCAAAAAATGCACTTGATTAACTTTAAAATTGAAGTTGGGCAGGCAGTCATACAGAACTTTGGAGGGATGGAAACTTAATAGTTAGCTATGCTTCAGGGTAGGCTATTGGGTTCTCTACCAATGGAACATACATTTAGTATATTAGATGTTTTTCTTAGGTAGTACCTTTTGCTAGGGTTAATAAGGGAGTTAAATTATGATGTTTTACTTTTTATTATGATTTATTTAATTTTAAGAGAGGGTGGCAAACAGCTAAAGGAAATAGATGATTTTTTCCTCTCCGACCAGAGCCAAGTCAAAAGAGCCCTGAGCTAATGTACTGTATAGAATAATCCAATTT